AGACTGATACCATTGCCCAGGAATCGACGATCCATTGGTAGATAGTGGCGTAACTAACCCGGCGTTGCCTCCCTGTCTTGGTAAATGTGTGCTCACCTTCTGTCATCCAAGGCTCCCGCATGGCTCGCAATTTAACTTGGAAAGCCCTGCTGAAACAAGTATCTAACGGTCGGAGTTCTTTGGTTAATCCTTCCGGAATGATGACAAGCTCTGAATTAGTTTTCTTCACCTGTCTTTTGACAGTTTCGGTGAGGTGGGGGCAAATGGAGTCGTAAATCAATATAGACGGATATGTGTGGAAAAAGCTATCGGCCTTCTGACTTAAACTTCTCTCAGCCACTCACTCATTTTCTCGTTCATCCAGCTTTTTGGGTTGACCTTGACGATGACTCCAACAGGAAACCTTCCTTTTGGCAAAGTCTTCCTCTTAAAAATGACCATGGGTGCTAGTTTCTGGCCATCAGCCTAGCAACCGAGAACTAGATTGAAGGATGATTTCTCGTTCCCTGTGATGCGTATAGCTGCAATAGACGTCGCAGTTTTTTCAACAGTACGATTCATGGGGATGTTAAAGCTGAGAGGAAGCCCGTTCATGTTTGTGGTCTGGCCTGGCTGGATCTTCTTTTCGGTGATCTTTTTCTAGCAGTAAGTGCAGAAGATGGTCAACGTTTCTTCGTAATCCCTTGGCAGTTGCTGCGAGGTGCTAGTTCTTGTGCGGATGAAGAGATGATGCCTTTTCATAAAACGAAAGCACCAAGAAGAACCTTCTTGAAAGTCATTTTGCTTCCTATCACCTGCCATCGCTATTGCCTTGAATCGAATGGAGAAAGTAGAGACGCTTCTATCTGTTGTTCTGTGGCCAGTAATCTACTGCACGATTTTGTCTTCTAACTGTGGCCATCTTGCTTTGTTCCCTCGGAAACTCTTCTTTGTCTCCTTTACTTGGCGTCGGTCATTTTCTTGCTTCTTCCACTTCCGCACCATTGATTCATTAATGTTGACTTGTTTCGCAGCTGCTCTATTGCCATGTTGTACTGCGTGGTTGATGACCTTTCCGAAATCCGCTTCGTAAGCATGTCTCTTAACAGGTGTCATTTTGGGCCATTACTTACCGGTACGTTGAAGCACAGTACGTATCAGGAAAAGTGGTAGGGGCAAACGAACAAGCTTCGTCTTGATCGCCAGTATGCGACTGGCGCTGAAAAATGTTATCGTGTTTGGCCTCCTATGTTGACCAGATTGTATGTCATCACGCATTTCTCCGTAAGTTCACTGTTACTGCCTCCGTAGTACACGCACGATGATGTATGTTCCAGTTGTCCATCCGAAAACTACAGTTCCTACGGTGATGTGAGTAAAGCTCACACGGGCGTCGCCGACTGTCCGGATGACCGCAATTCTTTGGAACAATGGTGTGAGCGCAGAGCATGTGCCCAAACACTCACCTGCAACCAGCGAGACAAGAGGGCGTGTTTGGGCATTGTTTGTAAGGTGTATTGTTGGACCAACTGCGTTTGCTTGGTCGAGAAACCATTACATATATCACAGTATAGGATATCAGCGTGAATGAATGAATAGTTGGTTGGTTTGCCGTCGCCAGAAAACTGGAAGCAGTTGGCTCCGGCACAGAGTTCGCCACCCCCAAAACAAGTTTGTCTAGACAAGATAGCAAGCTGACTCCACGGGGTTCCTGACCAGCGACTATACTTCGACAATCCAAGTCATAATAAAAAATTTTGACATATTTTTCAGCGCAGTGTGAAGATAGAAATTGATTCGAGGTCACTAGGCGCACCGGAGTATAGGGTGCACTGCCGAATGTTTAAGCAAATATAAGGATTTAAAGCTCACCTTATAGTCTGAAAAATACGGTACTGACACGGTCAACACCTGTCTTGACGAACTAAGCCTGAGCTTGGCCAGCTTAATAATCCAGGGAAGTACCCTGTGTCATCGCTTACCAAGAAGACTCGTGAGTCGGAACGTACGCGAAATTGAGTACTGAGGGTTACCAATGTGGAAGTCGGCAGATCCATCTCCGACCCAACTGAAGCCCACTCTGATGTGCTCGAAGGACCGCGTTTATCCATAGCATCCGTCAACAATCTTTATGGGTTGCTCCAGATAGACTTCTTACTATCTGCAGACGACCTCAAGGTTTGGCATGACTTCCGGACACTGGACGTCCATTACAAAGAGATCTCAACACGTCCTACAGTTGATGATCCGAAAACAGGTTTCAGTTAAACTTGACAAAATTCAAAGTGCTGAGCAAACGCCACCAGTGAGCACAAGAATAGCGACTAAGACAGCAGCACCTGCAACATGATACGCAGAAAAGCGACGTCGGGGTACTAAGGCATGAGGACCTTGGGGTTGTTCGAAACAGGCCGAAAAGGCATCTAGAGGAGGCAGTAAGCAGCTTGGTCTACTACGAACAGAGTTCAGAAAGTTTAAGCAAGCAATCTTCCCACAAATGCTGAACGCCTATGTAAGGCACCACGTGACGTACGCAATCCAGGCCTAACGAACTTGACGCAAACATAATGCTGCTGTGCTCAAAGATCCATCACGTAGAGCAACGAAAATCGTTTCGTTGTTTCACCTCTCCTATCAACGCAGACTGCAAGCCCTAGGCTTGTACAAAGGTGAATACCGGAGCCTGCGTGGAAACCATACTATGCAATACAAAATACTGACTAACTCCAATCAGGCCTGTCGGGATCTGTTGCAAGTCAACGACAATACGAACCTGAGAGTCCACCGGCTGAAACTGACCACAGACGACAGCCCATTTAATTGCCGACAAAACTTTTTCTCCCTCCGGGTATCCAGAACGTGCAACGCTCTTCCTTCTGACGTTATTTCCGCCCCCAACATAACACTTTAGAGAAACAATTGGACTGTCCTCTATCCCGTTTACACTACATGACATAGTCCGTTTCCATGGAAAGACGAATTAACGCAAACAATGTGCTCACCAGCGCACTCCATTACGTCGCGGTGAGCAGACCAGCATGTCCTCATGTGAATAACCCAGTGAGTCTACTCAAAACAGCATTATCCTTTTTCTGTCACTGTAAACAAGCATTTTTAATCCCCATACCGGTAACCTGACGGGACTTGTCAAACAATCGGCTTTTTGCGCGTTATAAATCATTATTCATTGCTCAATGCACCCTGGTGCCTACATTCAGTTTGTGCGTAGGTTTTGTGGCCGCGACCAGTTGAGACAACATTCACTTCCAAACCATTCCTTAAAAGATTGAGGCTGTTCTTTACTATTACAGATGCAGTAACTTTAGATGGGTTTAACAGTGTTCACTTGATTGCCTTGCTCTTATCACCATCCTCATCCTAGTCTCTCCCATGCACTGAATTCATTCTGCCAATGGCCAACACAGTCACTTCATGCATTGCGCTATAGGAAAGTTCACTAGTCACTACCAAATCTTATCTGTTCACCAATAACAACGCAGTCAGGTGTGTCTCTAAGACATTTGAACCTGATACACTCATCCACTCAACAGGATTGCTTCGTTTTATCCAGGAAGTATGTAAGAGAAACCATCTTCACTGCCACCCATGATATGGACTCGTATTATAATTAAATTAGACATTGGATCACTTCATTTGTAAGTAGCAGGGGATTTAATGGGCATATTTGAAAATTCGTCACAGTTACAATCAGATAAACAGCCACCACACATCCAGGAAAGTACTAAACGGCCGCGATATATCGCAGTTGGATATCAGTCATGGCTGTCCGCTGCCGTCCCCCATGACTCAGTGTCATAAGTCGTTGGATAACAAGTATGGTCGATGATTCGAATCCTGTAGAATTCAGCGGGTACTTGCTACGGACGAGTCCCAATAGGACGAAAGGACTGTCTAGCGCGCTTTTGGATGTGTGGTGGCTGTCTGCTTGATTCTAACTCCTACGAATGTTCAAAAATGGGATCACGTCGCTTTCTCCTTAGCCTGATATGCGGCTGCTTCAGCTAATGAGCTCAAGTGTGTGCAGCGGTTTTCTTAGGGTAATCATAGAAGAACTGATTACTGACCTGTAACAGTAAACAGATGCAATGTGCTGATGTCAGTATCTACTCAGCAGCACAGCACTTTGGTCCCGAACGAGATCGTCGTATGACAGATTAAGAAACACTTTGCGTAGCATTAGCACTATGCCAACTAATAGTGCTCGCACGTGGTGTAAACTACCAATAGTTGGGAAGGGACGCGTGCAGATATTCACAATCACTAATGTGAGCCTGTAAACTCACCTTCAGAGAGGAATGCCCCAACAAATGCAAACGACACATGGACCAAAAAAGTTCATGTCTATTCGGTGTGCCTATACTCCATGACAAAATGTTGTCGGCCAATCGCTCATTCACACAGAAGAATGATTTCCAAGCGTGCGCTAAACAGTATACCCACTCTATTCGTCTGGCGCAGTCATGGAGCAATTGCATTGTAGGGCTACACGTAGTCGTTAGAAGTATCCCGAAGCACTCTAGTTGTACGCGCAGATTAGTATTTGTCCCGAGCGTGCATGAACTTGAGCCACAACGTTAAAAATAGATCGAAATCAACACTGAGCAAGACACTGGAATTCACTCCATCGACAGAATACACCCAGTGTCAAACGGGGCCCAGCAACATATAAAAAGTTAGCAAAATCAAATCCTCGGAAAAATTTAACGCTGTCGACTAGCTTCCAGCAGTGTCGCGATCCATTCACCAACTTTGTTCATGCACAGTAAATTGCTGACTGTAAATTGCGCCGTTTTATAGTGGTGTTGCAGCTGTTACTCCCATCAGCCGATGTACGGATGGGTATGCTTGCAAGCTCAATCTGTTGTAATCTGAACCACAACTAACACCTAGCTAGTGACATCTATGCTTCGCTGACTTGCTAAAGCACGTCAGTTACCTGTCAGTATCGTGGGCAAAGCCCGATATTTTTACAAGGGAAATACCAATTGCAAGAAACTTACCAAATTTCCAGCTGAATGCGGTTGCCTTCAACAATAAAGATTTTCTTCGCTAAATCGATGCCTAAAGGTGAACAGAACAAATGGGAGAATCGGGTAATGAGTAGATCATTGAAGCAGATATGCGCAACGGTACTTAACTCGCATTTGAATTGCATTCAGACGCACAAGCGCTGCTTCCTGTGCCGCTTATTGCACTACCATAGACATCAAGTGGTAAGTTGGAAACCACTGAAGTATGTCGCTTTACAAGCAAGATTGTGTGACTGTTAATGCTGTTAGATTTCTGATCAGTCCAACTGCTATAGTAAATCGGATGCCAACAGTGAGTCTAAAGTTCGCTCACGCGAGCTAATACTTCTAGGATTAGCATATTGCAGGTCCACCGCACTCTTGTTCCCACTGCATCATAGCCATTCAGCTACGGTTGGCGACAAGATATCACGTTAAGAATCAGAAAGTCCGTTCATGATTTATCACCGTGTGACCCCAAGAAAAACAACCGAAAGCTGCAAGACTTTCAACATGCTCGTGGACGGACAAAAACAATATTCTTATCTTTTATTTTAGCCATGGCTACCAATTATGTGTTTTGTAATCACCAGCGCTCCTGTGAACGATTCGTTCCGTAGATACTGATTGATGACAATGTGCTTCACTTGTCTAAGACTTTCAAAACTCCCTAACCAATACACAATTGGCAATAACTTTTGCTTGCATTGATTGCGTACCCTCTGCCGGTGATAGACCCTTAGGCGGTAGCTGGAAGAAAACTACCGGCGTGGGCCAAACCGATAAGCGGTTCGGCGCTGGGGTTACGATGCAGCGAGTATGCAAAAGTAACATACCGATTAGCGCTGCGGCTACATCTGCCCGTTTTCGTTCAAGTTAACTGAACGTGTGGATATCTGCACAAAAACGCTGTAATCTTCCTTAGGTGCCCAAAGCGCATTCTTACTTAAAAGTTACAATCACCTGGATAAAGAGTTTCTCCAACATGTGGTGGAACACTAACGAAAAGCACCTCAATTATGTTCACTGTATTCCAGTGAACAGAACTTAACATTTTCCATAGTGGATACAACATGCAACCTTTGACATCTTGAAATATGTTTGGAAACAAGCGAGAACTCATGATTTCGGATTAATTCTAAACCATTCTGGAACATGTGCCGTTGATATGAATAAAATGTTTGTAAATTTGTAGGCCATTGGAAACTGCCATCCAGAAATCACCATGAGCCTTTCACCCAGTACCATGGTTTAGCTGTACCATTCATCACGCGAATGCTTCTGCTACCTGTCAATTATAGCTCGAATCCAGTTCATATCATATCGGCAATGTATCTTGAGCACATCACAATCTGCCACCTCATTTAGAGCGATCCTGATATTTGCATTACCTTCCGTAACAGGGACCAGTGTATATCTGTTTTTGGAGATAGCAACATCTACCTGATTGCACGAAGTTCACGCAAATTCTTACACAGTATTCCCAGGCTAACTATTGATGTCACATGACTTTGACCACTGTTGATGAATTTATCGCTCCTGTCCACCGGGGTTTCGTTGAGAGTGAACCGCGTTTGTGCGGAGGGGTACGGATTAGAATTCGACATACATCATTTTTATGGGAGTTTCGCAGTAAACCTGTTGGATTTAAGAGCAATAGATTGTATACTCGTACGTACGCATGCCTTCGTATGCTTACAGATATGCAAGTGGAAGGTAAATGAATTTAGCGGTTCCATTTAATTTTGTCGGACAAGCCACGTAGGCAGCGATGCACTGGCTTGCACAACCCAATTTTCATCTGCTTCAATGGATAGAGCAGTGGATCAGAGGATTCGTCAAGGAAAAAAGAGTAATTTTATAATAATTTTTCGTAGGTATACAGTGAGACCAAAAATGAATGTGTCAATACAACAAACGCATATTGGTGGAATCACCATGCTTTTCGCATGCGCACACAATATCGTCACTTTGTTCAGTGCCCCAGTAACTTGAGAAAAAGCATGTAACGCAGGTGCTTTAATCAAGTAAAGTTTTAAATACTGGTGACGTAGGGGCGTAGACGACAGAATGCAGCTGGCATAGATGAATGTAGCCGGGAATTCGGCTTTATTTCAACCGGCTATAGTGTGTAGCCAGCTTCAAATGGTGGCACCTCAGTGTGGTGCTGATAACTGAATATCGGCATGTATTGTTAGGATGCTTGAGGATCTGATACACTAATATAAGGTCATCAAGTAGACGACGGTTTGTCAACTGAGAACACCTAGGGTATTTTTTATAAACTCGTAATGGAGGTGGAGCCAGCCCATAATAATTTGGGCTCTTAAATGCAGCGAGGACATGATTTTACAAGTTGTGCCACATCTTCAAGGCGTGTATTACATAGGTCTCAAAAAGTACTGAGCATTTGCGAAAGGAAGGTAGGACTAAACTGGCCAAACGTCCACCGCAGTATGCCTAAGTATTGGCTACCTTTTTCACTGTTCCCAAGGCATGTCTTGAGCATACTAAATAGACTTACACGAACGCAACAAAATCATTTGCACGTGAAGTGCGCCGCAAAACGTGTTATCCCAGCCTGTAATCGGAGGTTCTCTGGTGGCACATGGTCATTGGTTTTTATTTGGCAGCGGTAAACTAAGGCATCTGAACTGACCAATCGCATGCCCTGTTGAGGGCAATTTGCAGGGCTATGTGGTCATCTACTCTCTTAATTACTTACCAGATCTTGAGATCGTCCGCAATGAGTAGAAAATTTAAGGTAAGCACTCACGCGAAGTTGCGTAGGAACCCCAGGAGCAGCCGTGGTTCAAGTGCTAACACATGTGGGACACCTTTATTGCGTGAAACATGATGCTACGAACGCGGCCATTCAAACGGAGTTAGAGTGGGAATGAATGTATCCAGACCACGATGGCATCAACAATCCCATAGCTCCGAAACTTGTAAAGGAGGTTGCAGTTATCAAGCCGGTCAAAAGCCCTTGAGAGTGCAAGGTAGGAGGCGACAACTCATTCCCCAGCATCAGCAGGTTGCGTCCGCTTGGCGGGAACGGCTGCTGCTGCCGATCGTCTCACTCCCGGGAACACTCACCTACAACCTAGTAAAAGAACCGCAGAGACGTCTCGAGCATCTAACTAGTGGATCGCAACGCTCTGGAACTAATACCAAACAATTCCTACAAAAGCGTAATGAACTGCAAATAGGTAATGGTGACCCAGTGACACCATCCTACGTGACTGCTCTCTCTACTTCTGTTAACTTGCAAATGGCAACAGCGGTTACCACAGAACACCCGAAAAACAGTGAACAACCAATCGGGAACATGACGACCGAAAATATATCCAAACTGCTCTACTTGTGTCTGTCAACCTACTACTTTTTTAACGGGAAGTTCCACGAGCAGTTGAAGGACACACCAATCGGATCACCTGTGTCAGTACTAGTCGCGGAAATGGTTATGCAGAAATCGGAAGAGGATGTACTCCCATTCACTAATCTGAAATTGCGGGTTCGGTATGTCGACGACATGGCTAAGTATCACTGGCAGAACAGCTATTGGACAACGCTAGGGAGGGCATCCAGTTGAGAGTGGAACCGGAGAAACAAAGTGAACTATCTTCGTTTGACATATTAGTAGCCATAACCATGGAAGGGGAGCTACAAACATCGGTGTGCAGAAAAGACACATACCCCGACCAAATTCTGAACTTCAATAGCAATCATCCGAAAAGTCCAACCTGTTCAAGTGTTTTCAACCCATGGGATATCCGCGACGCTTTATCCGAAGGTGTCTGAACCACAACAATGAAAATAGACATTCTACACAAAAGGCAGATAGACGTGCTATTTTGATGCCAGACTATGCAAATAGCATCAGCTCACCGTAGCATACAAACCTACTGCCACTTAGAGGAAAAAAGCTCAAACCCTGGAGAAAACTGGAAGCACATGGAAGACGGAATGTTGTAAACAAACTGGACTGCATAAATTGCAAAAAGGACGAGGTTGGCCTAGCAGGAAGAAAATTGGAGACAAGGCTACAAATGCACAAAAGAGTCTGCGAAAAGCATCACGCATTACCCTAGTTGCTATGTAAGTGGGCGAAGAAGGACACAGCTCTGTTTGGGCAAAAACCGGAGTCTTGGCACGAGGGAAAATAAGAAGAGCAAATGAGTACCTAGAAGCTGGGATTTGAACGAAGAATTCAATCAACCTGCACAAAAGCATCAACCCACTGCGGTAGATAGGAATCGAAGGAAGTTCAAGACGCCGTTTTAACTAGAGCAATCAATTTAGCCGAGGGGAAAATTGGTAAAGATCGGAGGACACAACCCGAAGAGGTCCCTACCAAAAGTCAAATGCACGTTAATCACTGATCGAGGATTCAATCAACAAGCTTACACATTGCATATTACCGCGTTGACGATACCACCTCGCATGGTTGCGCGACGTATGCGAACAAATTGCTAAACTCAGCCAAGTGAAGATCAGGTGAATCGTCCACGCGAGCTACAAGTATTCCGAAACTCGTTGAAGCATAGCCAATCTGACCTGATGGAATACCTCCCCCGCAATATGAATTTCTCTTTAAACAAGTGCTTGATGCTCTGGCCGTCGCAGAGTTGAGAGACATGAGGATACTACAGCTCAGGCCTTTCAACCTTCTTATTCCCTCGCGCTTTTTCATCCTTATCGCCCCAATACAAGTTCACTTTTTTCCCCTGTTTTCAACCTTCTGATTCTTGGCCCTTGCACTTCTTATGGTTTCAAATAACACGCAAACGCACGGCGTCGCCCAAGTCCAATCGAGAAGTCCATGTCTAGCCAAACGGATAACAATAGTTCAACCGTTTCTCTTTGGAGTCCATAATCCTCGTTAGGACTGGTAAGCCTCAACGGTGCATCTTGATTCACATGAGCAGATAAGCAGCATTTGCCCGAATACTAGGTACCCTATCGCTCGACGTACGCACTTATCGGAAACATGTCTGCTATATTGGACTTCCGTGCTTCACACGCGATCTCCCATGCGCGACACTGGCGGCA